GTTCGTCAATCTTTTCCACGACTCTTGGTACCACCGCGTGCTCTGGATCCTGTGGATTCCTGGTTGGTTCCCGTTGTCGGCTCTGTCGGGAGAAGCCCTGTGAAATCCTTCCCTCTTTGGCATCTGCGTTGGAGGCGAATGGACCGATCAGACCTTCGACCGGTGGATCTGGTTGTCACTGCCGCGGAGGTCCCCGAACCAGCTCCCCTCAGGTTGGGTTTAATAAATGCCAGATCGGTGGCGAATAAGACCTTCATCCTGAAGGATTTCTGTTCTTCCCATGCTTTGGATTTCCTCTGTTTGACTGAAACCTGGAGTTCACCCGGTGAGTTAAGCGCCTTTTCTGAACTGCTGCCCGCTGGCTGTGCTTATTTTAACGCTCTGAGAGCTTCTGGTCGTGGCGGGGGGTTAGCTGTTTTTAAAGCACACTTTGAGTTTAAGCAACTTTCCTCATGGACACGCCACAGCAGCTTTGAATGTTGTTTGTGTGAACTGGGCCACTTGCCTTCGTTGCTGTGTGCAATAGTTTATCGGCCTCCTAAATATGACAAGGAGTTTGTATCTGAGTTTCTCGCTGACTGTGCATCCCGGTATGACCAGGTCCTGCTGCTCAGTGATTTTAATATACACGTCTGTTGCCCAGGAAAGCCACTGGCTAAGGACTTCATGGACCTGGTGAACTCTTTTCATCTTGTTCAGTCTGTTAAAGGTGCCACTCAAGAACATGGTCACACATTGGACTTGGTGTTATCATATGGGTTATCTGTCTGTAACTTACATGTGGAGGATGCTGTATTCTGTGACCATATGCCCATTGTATTTGACGTTGTTCCTCTTAGTCCTGTTGTTAAACGGCTGCACCTATGCGATGCTATCGAGCCTTCGGCTCAGATGCTCCTGAGCGTTTTTCAACACTATTTGAACAACTTGTGTCCAGTCCCTCTGAGTCGTCCTCCGTAGATGGATTACTCTCTCATCTGGACTCTGTTTGTAAATCTGCCCTTGATGTTGTTGCACCTCTAAGACTCAGGCAGTGTAAACCCAAGGCCAGTCCTTGGCTAACCGATTTTACTCGAGCCATTAGAAGAGACTGTAGGAGATGTGAAAGGCGATGGAAAAAGGACAGACTGTACGTCTCTCTGGAAACTCTTAAGACGAGCTGGAAAGCTTATCAGAGGGCAGCAAAGACTGCCAAAAACGCCTATTTTTCTCAACTTATTGCTGTTAATTCACATAACCCTCATGTTCTGTATAATACCATAAATTTTGTACTGAATGCAGAGGATCATGTTCTTTTGCAGTCTTCTGAGGTTATGTGTAATAAGTTTCTTAATTTCTTTGTGGATAAGGTTGCCAGTTTGAGACCCTCCACTTTATCTTCTGTTGACCCGGCTGTGCATGTTCCCTGTTTAAATTAGCTTATTGCTTTCCAACCAATTGTTCTACCTGAACTCGAGAAGCTTGTGTTAACTGCTAACCCATGTGGTTCTCCGAATGTTGTCGCTCATCCCCGTTTTCTAAAAAAGGTGTTTCCTACTGTTGGACCACATATTCTGAACCTAATTAATACCAGCCTCTTGTCAGGTCAAGTACCAAGCGAGTTTAAGATCATATATAATATAATAATATATAATCTCACTGATCAATCCGCTGCAGGGGGAGTTGGAGCAAGTCCTCCAGCTTCTGGTTGTTGAATTCCGGACGGGATTCCTGCAGTTTTTTGAACCGTCTGAAGGCCTTGTTTTTCTTAAGCTGCATCTGAAAATGGACACAAGACACTGGGAGATTATTCAGAGACATTTACAAGATGTAGCTTCTGAATTTAAAAGAAGTGTACTGGGACCAGATTTCATGATTGTGATGTGCAGAGCAGTAGTAACTACAGAGGAATAACATTGATGAGCAATAAAATGAAGATATAGGAAAGGGCTGCTGAAGGTATGTTAAGAAGAGAAATGACTAGGGATGGGTATCGTTTAGGTTTTAACCGGTACTTTTGAAACTGTGCCGGTGCTTAAACGGTGCTCAAACCAGTGCTTAAAGAATGGAGAACACAAAATTGGTCCAAAAACCTCATGTTCAGCTGTTTTTTGTAAAAAGATAACAGTGTTAGCCTTTTCTGCAGCTATGGGGCATATATGGTATCACTCTTGGCTGAAAGCAGTGCTTAAACATCCATCCATCCATCGTCATCCGCTTTGTCCGGGGCCGGGTCGCGGGGGCAGCAGCCTAAGCAAAGAGGCCCAGACCTCCCTCTCCCCAGCCACCTCCTCCAGCTTATCTGGGGGAACACCAAGGGTACCGGATACCGGTACCCATCCCTAGAAATGACAATCAGCGAGTAATAGTATGCTTTCATGCTGAGAAAGAGTACTACACATGTGAGGTTTGCTTTCAGAGCATTGATGTGCAGTATAGAAAAGGTCAGAAGGCGTTCACTGAGTGAGTGCCAGAGAAGTATGAGGGTGGTGGAGGACGTGTATGAAGTCACCAAGTATCAAGGTGTCCAGTAGGAGTGAGAAGGTCGAGGCAGGAGTGGTTAGAGGTCAGCTCTGAGCCCATTCTTACTTGCAGTGGTCATGTGATTAAACACATTTTACGGAAAGCTAGGTTCATTTTCACTAGCCACACCCAGGCCTGATTACTGCCAGACCTCTTAAATCAAGAACTCACTCAGATGGAACCTGTCTGACAATGCAAAGTGGGCTAAAACATATCAAAAAGCAATCACGCCACAATCTAAAGACACTCAGGAACAGATGAGAAACAAAATCATTAATACAATCCTGATCAAAAGTTTAAGACCACTTGATGAAAAATGACATGGTTGGAGCTTAACAAGGTTCCAAGTCAAGCTTCAACATGCAACAAGAAGAAATGGGAGTGAGACAAAACATTTTTTTTGAGCAATTTATTGAAAATAACACTTAAACTGAAACAGGCTGTTTTACAGCTGATCAAAAGTTTAGGACCACTTGCCTTTAAAAGGCCAAATCTGTGCAAAAATGTGGATTCATTGTCATTTTCTGTCATTTCACTGTCATGATGCTCTGTTGGCAAAGGAAAACAAACCTTCCTTTGTTGAACGTGGTCGGGTTGTTGAACTGCATAAGCAGGGTCTCTCACAGCACGCCATCGCTGCTGAGGTGGGACGCAGTAAGACGGTCATTTGATATTTCCTAAATGATCCGGAGGGTTATGGAACAAAAACTCAAGTGGAAGACCCAAAAAAATGTCCCCAGCACTGAGCCGGAGGATCCAACTGGCTGTCAGTCGAGACACTGGACGATGCTTGACCCAAATTAAGGCCGTTACTGGTGCCGACTGCAGCCCCATAACCATCAGACACCATCTGAGGCTGAAAGGCTTCAAGAACAAAAAAAACGTCTCGTCTCCTTGAACGCCACAGAACTGACCGTTTGGACTTTGCTACAGAGCACCAAACATGGGACACTGAAAGGTGGAAGAAGGTTTAATTCTCTGAGGAGAACAAAAGTAACCTCGATGGTCCTGATGGTTTCCAACGTTGCTGGCATGACAAGCAGATCCCACCTGAGGTGTTTTCTATGCGCCACAGTGGAAGGGGCGCCATAATGGTCTAGGGTACTTTTTCCTTCAGTGGAACAGTAGTCTTCTCTTTATGGTAGACTTGGATATTTATCCAAGAATGTAGTTCACGCTGGTGTGAAGGGTTTTTTCATCACCATGATTCTGAGATCATCCACTACTGTTGCCTGTGGACGTCCAGGTCGTTTTGCATTGCTGAGGTCATCAATGCCTTCTTTTTCCTCAGGATGGACTAAAGATTTTGCCACTCCTAAGACTGCAGCAATTTCTCTGATGTTTTGTTCCTGTTTTTGCAGCTTACGGATGGCTTGTTTCACCTGCATGGTGAGCTCCTTTGACTGCATATTGTCTGTTCACAGCAAAATCTTCCAAATGCAATCATCACACCTCAAATCAACTCCAGGCCCTTTAGCTACTTAATTATCAATATCAAAGGAATTGCCCACATCTGCCCATGAAATAACCTTTGACTCTATTGTCCAATTACTTTTGTAACTAGATGTCACATGTCAAGAAGCTGAAACTCTTAAACCCTTCGTCCAATTGAATCTTCAGCCAACCCTCAAATTAAAGCTGAGAGTCTGCACATTATGTCCATTGTATAACTATAATTGGAATATTTTTCAGTAAACCGGTAAAAACAACAACAACAAAAACTTATGTCAGTGTCCAAATATATATGGATCTAACTGTGTGTATGGTTAGAAGGCTATCACTGACAAAAAGACTAAAGGCCGAGTTGAAGGATTAAAAATGAAGATAGTTGATTATGGAGCAGACCAGAGAGAAAACTCATGGATGTGATGAAGGAGCATATGCAAAGGTTTGGTATGATGCAAATGTTCGGTTAAGATGGAGACAGATTATCCACTTTGGCTACTGCTAAAGAGAGCGGCCGAATGAAGACGCAGCAGCATGTTTCTTTGCATCTATCAGCATGTAGAAAATTGTTAGATTCTGCAAAAACTTGCATTCTTGAAGTTCACAGTAAAACTACATAATAAATTTCATCTGATAAAATTGCTGTGCTTTGCTATTCAATGTAACAAGAAATCAGTAAATAGATGAAAACAGAAAAACTGACATCAGTGACAAAAAAAGATCGACTAACAGTCTGAACCAAGTTCAAATATAATGTTCTTACCTGAAGCACTTTCTGGCCTTTATAAATGTTATCCACATATGTGTAGTAATGGTGCATATGGGTGGAGAACTGGTCAAGGCCTTTGCCAAGGTATCCATTCTCCAAATGGATAAGTAGAGTCCTGAGAGGAGAAACACACACACACACACACACACACACACACACACACACACACACACACACACTTTCAACATCATATATTGCACGTTGTTGTTTCCTGCGTGGGATGCTTTTGTTGCCAATGTTTGAAAAGCCAGGTTATTAAAAAAAAAAAAAAAAAACTTTCCCTAGTTCTCTTTGTCCCTTTTTGCTTTGAAATTAATTCAATCAATTAATCAGCTAACATGATCCATAACATTTATGTATAATAACAAATGGTATAAATTTTAGCAAACATTAAATCCTGCATTAGTACAAAGAAAAATGTGTATTAATATTTGCTTTTCTGTCTTTTTCTTTGGTTTTGTAAACCAGTCTGTTAAATCAAAGACCCAATACATATATTTAGAACATGCTATGGTAGTCACTTTCACTGGATCATTGTCGCTTATTTTACGGGCAGTGCAAGTGAGCCGTGTGTGTGGCATGTTACTCCTGAGTCACAACATCCTTAACAAATCCACAGGACATGGTATCAAGAACTATTTTAATAAACGTGGCACATTTTTTGTGCATCACAGGCCTTTGAGACGTTCGTGTTAAAGTTTACTCTCCTAGCAAACATTTAGCCTCAAGTTGAGTTATTGTGCATTATTGTCTGAGACGGCACTGCTTCTTTGCATCAGTGCCACGCTCCCTGAGAAGGAGCTCATGTGAGGTTAGATCGCATCTGAAGCATCATTTTCAACAAAGGCATACACATTTAGAGAAAGCGAGGAGGCTGAGCAGAGTTCAGAGGATTGCTTCCCTGTTAATGAGAGATTTAGCAGTCAAGGTTCTGTAGTGTTTCTTCCCCCATGGGTGACGCATTTACTGGGACCCAGACGACAGATGTACCTTCAGAGCACCCAGGGCTACTTTGTAGTAAGAACACGCCTGCTGAACTTAAGCAATTGGTTGGGGGTGTTGACACTTGTGAAGGAGCTTGTTATTTGAACTTGGAGGAAGTACCACATATTCACGCACACACATTCTCTAATGATGTTCCCAGAGACTGCTGCTCATACAAGCTGTGAGAAGGAGCACTTTACTGTTGAAGTTGATTTAAATAGATTTTAATGAAGTTGCCGGCAAAGGTAGGCTCTGTTCATAATCGGGAGGTGCAGGAGAAGCCGAGAGGGTTCTAACGAGAGCAAAGGGCAGGAAAAAATGTATTTCCATTTCTTTCCCTTTCTGACAGAGACTATTATGATAAATATGAAATTATGGATTACATTTTTTTTTTTAAATTTCCACAGCAATTAAATTGTCCGACCATCAGCACCAAGGTGGAGATGACATTAGCATTCCATGTGTGTCATCCGCATTAATTCCAAGCAGTTGCGGCATCGTGGATGATACGACTGAACCCAAACAATTCAGGCCACGTCACCATTACTTGGAGAAGGCTCAACAGATGAACGGCAACTCTCAAAACACAGGATGAAACATGAGAAACTATAAATGGAATAAACAGTTCGCTAACACTAAAGCATTAAACCAGCATTTTGTTGCTCTCAAAAAAACAACACAATGTGATGTCAGCCGTTTTTACCCACAGTGTCTGAGGCTCCATCCTATAATAATAATAATAATAATGGATTGGATTTATATAGCGCTTTTCAAGGCACCCAAAGCGCTTTACAATACCACTATTCATTCACTCTCACATTCACACACTGGTGGAGGCAGCTACAGTTGTAGCCACAGCTGCCCTGGGGCAGACTGACAGAAGCGAGGCTGCCATATCGCGCCATCGGCCCCTCTGGCCAACACCAGTAGGCGGTAGGGTAAAGTGTCTTGCCCAGGGACACAACGACCAGGACAGAGAGCCCAGGGATCGAACCGGCGACCTTCCGGTTACAGATACGATTCCCAACCCCCTGAGCCACGGTCGCTACACTCCAGTTCTTTAATGACAACCTCACCTCTGCTTTGTGCTTGGTCCACACAGCATTCTGGACCAGTGCTGCACACTAACTTCCTTCCCTAACCGCCCCATCACCTTCATTTAAGTTGAATGAAATCTTTTATCCAAATGTCATATAAACTTCTCAGGTATTACCACCTTTATAGATATTTGCCTACTCTCCACTGATAATTTTAAATATTTTATTATGGATTCCTGGAAGGAAATGACAACGTGAAGATGGGACATCACCAAACAAATGTGGGCATTGCCAAGCAGCAGCTTTCTTCCTTTCGTTATGCTTTAACATTTATTTCAGCTGTTTTCAGTTGCTGTTTCTGAGTATTTTGCCATTAAATAAAATGAATCATCTATTGGCCGACAAGTTTACTGACTTGTTTATTTTTAAAAACTCCAGACTGGCATCACCAGTACCAGCAATAACAGCTCTACACAGTGAGGGAAATCATTATTTGATCCACTGTTGAATTTGTAAGTCTGCTCACTTCTATGGTCATTTCAATTTAATGGAAAGAGACATAAAATCAATGCAAATGTCAACATTTTACTTAATCTACAAAGACATACAAAATAATTATTGCACAGCAGTTTGTTTATAACTGTCTAATTACATTTGGACCATTTAAAAAGGCATTACAGGGATTACATATTATAGAGACGTCAGTCCTGAGCGATTCCTCTAACCTGAATGAGTACAAATCAAATCAAAATGTATTTATATAGCACATATTAAAACAACAATGTTGACCATAGTGCTTCACAGTCAGTAAAAGCATGAGACAATTAAAACAAACAATAAAACAGGACAACAAACAATAGGTAACAACACAACAAGCTAGAACAGCCAACTAGTTAGAATCAAAGGCCAAAGTAAAAAGATAAGTTTTAAGACGTGATTTAAAAGACTGGATCGGCTCGGCAGTACGAAAATGAACAGGGAGGTTATTCCAGAGTCTGGGTGCCACGGAATCAGAATCAGAATACTTTATTGATCCCTGGGGAAAATTATTTTTCGTTACAGTGCTCCATTATAAACCAACATTAAGACAAGACAGACAATACACTAACTAAGAATAGTACAATAT